AGCCAGCTAACTGTTTTTCAGTTCTTACTTGAAGGATTTTCACCCATTTGTCCTTGTAAAAGGCTTCTAATTCTGCAAGATTCTTGAGCTGTCTTGCATGCACTGCTCTTCTGAGATCTATCCACGGATGTTTGATGATGTTTAGGTCAGGGGACTGTGAGGGCCACGGCAAACCGTGTCTCTCCAATATCCAAACAGCTGTTTCGGTGCTGATGTTCTGTAAAATCATGTGCTACGTCCCTGCATGGTTTGCAGACAATCCATATTTTCCCTTAGTAGACAGTTTGTTAGGTACAGATGCTCAAATGGCCTGCTCTTCCAAACAGCCAATCATGTGGCTGCATCTGAAGACATGCCGCATGCAGATGTTCAGGTACTGGCTGAGCCTTAGAATAGCTTAGATGCATGATCTAAGTGAATGTGGATATGCTGCGATATGTACTAGTTCCAGCATCTTAGAAACAGACTCCTCCTTGGGATTTTCACACACCAGTGTCCAGAGTTTAGACAGAAGAGTGCAAAACCATCCGGTCAATGGCAGCTTCGCACGGCAGTGGGGTCTCTGAATGCATAATTTGTTAATCCTTGTAGCAGTTCTTGAAACAAAAGACAGTCCTGCCTGTTATTACGTAGGCGTGCATTTGCACTACAGTGTAGATTTGCACTACAGTGTAGATTTGCACTACAGTGTAGATTTGCACTACACTGCAAACATGCGCAAAATCAAACATAGTTTTGTACACTATTTATATGTTTACATTTATTGCATTCTACTGTGTTGTGAATGTCATACACTTATGTTGTGCATTTGTATCTATGTGCAGCATAGCAGGGAACCCAAGGGAAATGGTTTTACAGCACACTGTGTACTTATACATGGATGTGTTGCCAATAAAGAACCTTTTAGTCTTGACTGGATAGTGGAACTTATGTCCCCTTACATCACCATTGTCTGAACGAATGAACTCTTTTCTAGAGGCTTTGTATACTTGCGTTTACTCCTTGTGTGACTGAAATAGTGAGCTTGGAGCCCCCCCCCCATAAGAAACCATGCTGGAGGCCGTCCCAGCTGATTTACACAGTCATAATGGGCCCAGCCAGGACAGTGGCACTGGCCTGGCCTCCCCATCAGTCTTACTGACACATTCATAGGGCTTTTATGTCCAGACAGGGCTTTTCCTATTAGCGGCACAGCAGAGCAGTTTAATTTGCTTTTTTGTTGTTGTTGAGGATTAGATTGCAGCCATCGTGCTCTTTAAATGCCAGCAGAGGTGAGTTAGGCCTCCCATGCTGCCACAAGCTCGTGTGGTGTTGGGCAGGCTGTAGTCTTGACAATGTCTCGCATTCAGGTAATGGGTAAATAAAATAAAGCTTATAAGCTCATACGTAGCTCCAATCTGCAAAAGGACCAGTACTGATAGTGCTCTCTAATGACCTAATGAAGGTCCACTAGGATAGAAACATTATACCTGCATAACATCTGCATAGAACATCTGTGCGTGCCCCTTATTCTCATTATTTTTGGCCTTGCAAATTTGACAATGTGGTGTTCAACATCGGGAAGGATCAGAAATCTGTAGCATCAATCCATCGTATGAACAGCCCAACCATCACCAAACGGAAGTATCTGTGACTGAATTTAACCTTTTTTTGTTTTACTGCTGGAAACAGTAACGTAAGGTACACTAATGGATTATGGAAGTTCCTTTTGTTGTGTGCTTGCATCTGCTGAGCTTGACGCTCTCTAATGCTTCCGTTTTCAGTAAACGCTTATTTAATTGTGATCTGCATCAGTAGCGTATGTCAAGAAGCACGGGGTCTTCGGCAACATAAAACCTCATTTTATTGTAGGACATTTATACACTGACACTGTAACTTTCCAGGGTCACCTAAGCACCTGAACAAATTAACTTTGGCACAATGCCCAGGACTGCAGAACCCCGGCTGTCCAGGACAGACCTGTCTTTTACCCTTATATTTTATTGCACGCTTAATCAAAAGTGAGACTTCACAAAAAATGTAGGCCTAGTGCTTCTTTATGCGATGCACCTTAAATGGCTCATCGGTAATGTATCTTTCCTCATGTTTGCTAGTTCCCCACGATTCCTATCAGCTCAGCACCCAACCTCCTTTGTTGCGACGGCAAGTTAATACATATGTTAACAAATGCAAAGAATAAATAGAAGGATAATAAAACAAGTAATTTTTTAGAAAGGATAATATTAAACAGAGAAAACATTACTGCTGCTTTGACTATCACCATTAATCAAATAAGTGCAGTATTTGCCACAAATACTCTTAAGCTATAATAATATAGAGTCTCTGTTGCAATTTTAATTGACTGTTGAGTAGTAGACCCGGGTCTGCAACATGTGGGTGAATGGAGAGGGAAGAATGGAAAATACATAATGAAGTCCCCCCCCCCTTTCATTTAATAATTTCAGCTGAGTGCATGTCTGCATGTAAGTGGTCAGAGTAGTCAGTAGGTATTTGTGTATGAAATGAAATGTCCCTTTGGAAGAATAATATTTGGGATTTCACAAAGTACATAATAATAATATTTTGTACCCAAATTTGTCCTCATTTTAAGACAAGCGACTTTTGAGGTCTAAATAGTCAATCTATTTCGCAGTGCAGTAATACTAATGCGACTTTCCTTCCTGCTCTGTGAAATTATTATTTGCATATAAGATTAGATGTGGGTTTCTGCTTGTGGGTAAACGTACCTGATTCGGCTGATGTTACATAAAATTCCCAATGAAACTTTCCCCAGCTTTCAGCCGTGGCTGGTTTTGCTCTGCTCCGAGCTGATTTCGGTGTTACACACAACTTTCACCACGGCCTTGATCACTAAGGTCATCATAAACATTGTCATTTTCATGACCCTGATCATCATCAGTTACATAAAAGAGGTGTTCTACTAGTTGTTTCTCTCACACATACCTTATTTCCAGCAGAAGGATGATGAATGTCAGATTTCATTAGCAACTCTCCGTAATCCTTGAAGCAGTCACCAGCCAGGATGATTTAACTCTTCACCAAGCAGTCCCATCACCATGTGTGCCTTTATCTGTATTAATCTGAGTCGCTCAGTTTCTTGACTGAGATGGATCAAATCCATTTATCCTCTAGACGTCATGCTGTTTTCAAGTGCTGGAAATTAATTCATTATGACATTTAATCATGGCGCCTTTCCTCAGGTAATTTTATATCTGAAACGGGCTGACGTGTTAGACCTTTTGACTTTCATTAAACCCCGTTGTACCTTTGGACATTACTCAGCCATCTGTAAGCAAGGATTTGCCATGTAAATACAGTGCAGATGGCAAAACAAACAGGAGAATCCAAGATTCCTACAATATTAAATTGAGGTTTTAACTTCGAACCCACAAACACTGCTAATCCCACTGGAACACACCCAGGAATACTTTGTATAAAGTGCATGTAAATTCTAATGAGCCTCACTCAGTCCAAGGTTATTGCAATTTATGACCTCATACTGTACGTAACGGCATCACTGCCTGAGCTTTTTTCATGATATGCGTGTGTATAAGCATATAATGCTGCTATAACTAAATGCTATAATGAATGTTGTCAGAGACCAAATATTCCTTTACGCTTACAAAGAAAACTGTAAATGGAAATAGGTCAAGAGGTTAATTTACTGCTTGGCTAAACATTAGAGCGACTAAGATGTGTGACATAAGTGTTTTTGAATATGCCGTGATTGTTACTGCCAGACGTGGCGGATCCAACATCTCAGTAACAGCCACCCTTCTGGGATTTTCATACACGTTGGTGTCTTGAGTTCACAGAGAACAGGACAAAACACCCAGCCACTGGCAGACCTGCGGGCGAAAGCCCCTCGTTAACGAGAGGTCAGGGGAGACTCGTTAAAGCAAACAGGAAGGCCACAAGGGCAAAACGGATCATCAGCGTGGAAAAAATGGACCCCTCTCTGCTGAACGATTTATGCCTCTCGTCAAGGCTTTATGTGTAGCTGTAATAAATGGATCATACCATGTATTCGAATCATGGAGGGGTCAAGCAATATTAATGGCCAGAGCAGGAGAAACTTTCCCATCTCTATTGACTTGCTGAGTCAAGAAGCATGTGGGTGTTAAAGATCAAAGCTCCGTAACACCGGAACAGCGCATGAGTAATGCTTAAAGAATGGCACCAGTAGGGAGCTAGAGAAGGATCATGATCTTAGGAAATGATCCAAAAACCACAGAATCATCTTCACTGCCTTAATACCATTTATTTTCACACATCAGTAATTAACATATTTTGATGTAAAACATGAACAAAAATGAAAAATAGTGTCTCTGCTTTTGGTAAACTGATTGTGGATACATAAGACACATGATTAGCTTATATTAAAGAACTAGGATGCTTCAGATTTGTTTTAATATTTATATAGTAAGAACCAGTTTAGTAACTGATAGCAAAATATTAATAAAACATTTGTGGAAGGCACATTGTCTGCATACAGCGCAATGAATACGGAAGAGAGAACAAGGACATCAGCATTGGAAGTGTAGCCCCTCACCCATCACCAAATAAAGCATTTTTGGCTAAATACCATGGACCGCAGCACCGGGGGGGGCACCCTCCATGCCTCCCCAGGCCTCCCTTATTCACATGCCTTCCACGGTCCATGCATACATAAAGAAACATAAAGAAAATATAACAAACTGCAGAGTCCACCCTATACCCAGAACAACCCCATCTCTGCCATAGCCACGTCAGTTAAGGTGACCACCTAATACATATGGGGGGGGGGGTCACTTTGAGCTACTTCAGGTTTTACAAACTACTTTAAAACTGTAAGGCTACTGTGCTTGGCTGATTAGTTCAATTCTTCTTGTGCCTTTACTGGTTTGTTTCCTTGATTGAAAGATTCATCCAGCTGTTTCATATCAATATTAGTGACACACGCATGATTACAGGAGACTGACCAATCAGGACACAGCAAGAACTCAGTACTTAAGTGAAATCCAAGTCTTTAATTGAAATGGCATTTTACAAACCCTGTCCCGACTCATAGTGTCCCCTGACATGGATTAGGTGGTGACCCTAGTGTCACTTTCCTAAATAGATGCCATCCACAATTACTGGACATTATTTTAAGGCAGAATGCGGTGTCATTTAAATTTTTTTTTAATGTTTCTTGTATGTGAAAATGCTGTTAATCAAGTTAGGAATGCATACTATTGGTCTACTTTAAGGCATGGGTTTTGCCAGCAAGATTGTAATGATTGATTAACTTGTGATTATTATTTCACAAGAAGTACCATCCATCCACACCGACAGGTCATATCTGGGACACCAGATTGCTGACCAGCCTCTGCAGCTCCCCAGCCCTCATTTCAGTGGTCGCCAGCACCTCCTCGTGATTGGCACGGTCAGCGCAGTCATACTCACTCACCACCTTGTTGGTGATGAGGGACAGGCCAAGAACGCGCAGGCGGCAGTGACGGGCCACCACCACCTCAGGCACTGTGCTCATCCCTGGGTGGCGGAGTGACAGAGACAAAGAAGAACAGACAGGTACGGAAGAATGAGAAAACCCTGATTATTTTATGTGAAGAATAAAGCATTAGGTGACTTGAAGTGGTGCATTATGGGTAAACGTGTCATAACGTCCCATGTGACTGATTCAGACTAACCGACAGCATCGGCCCCCAGGGTGTGCAGCAGCATGGCCTCAGCGACAGTCTCATAGGTGGGGCCTCCCACCATACAGTACACTCCTTGCTGAAGGAAGGAGGAGCAGTTTTGCTTTTCTGCGGTCTGCTGGGCCAGGCGCAGCAAGTCCTGGTCATAGGCGTCTGACATGCAGGGGAAGCGAACGCCGAACCTGCGGCAACATTGAGAAGGGAGGCGGAGTCACGGGACACATGGAGGGGCATCAAGAGGATGCTAAAGACGAAGGAGGATGTGCCTTTGACTGTTAAACCGCAGAATTGTTTGGCTTATTGCACATGCACTTATCACACATAATACTGATGGCTTCTGTGTAAGTATTAATATTGTAATTCTACACACATACGCGTTTGAGTCCCTATGTTTGTATTTATTTCCTGTTTACTTGCATATTAAATGCAATTGAGAAGCCGTAACCCCTATATAACCATCCAATCATTTCCATGGACATAACCCTAATCCCAGCTACACCAACCTTAACCCCCACCCAGCCCCAATCTTAACTTTAAGCGACCAAACAGAATAAGAGACTTTTGGCTATTTTAGTTTTTTTGATTGCATTCACATGTTTTCATAAAATTGAGATTTATATGGTGGGGACCTGAAAAATGTCCCCAGAAGTTAAAAAGTAACAGGTTTTATCATATTGTGGGGATATTTGGTCCCCCAATGGAATATGTACATGACTACACACACAGACACACACAGATACACACACAGACACACACAGATACACACACAGACACACACAGATACACACAGATACACAACCCCAAAGCAACAAAATTCAAAAACAGACAAGGAGTAGCGACAAGCAAAATATTTATTCTTTTTAAATGATAGTTGACCAGCTGAAAGAGAAGTATTTTAACAAGGTAAGGAAGTCCCATCCATCCATCCATGGATCCATCCTCATACACACACAGGCAGACAGACAGCTGCTCACCGCTCCTCATTGGGGCCGCGTAAGGGGCTCTGGCCTGCCAATCCTAGGAAATTAATGTGATCTTTGATCAGCATGATGTCGCCCACATTGAACTTGGGGTTCAGTCCCCCAGCAGCGTTAGTGACAATTAGCGTCTCCACCCCAAGGAGGGAGAACACTCGTACTGGGTATGTCACCTGGAACAAAAAGACAGAGAAAAACATGGGGGGGGGCATAGAAAACGCATCTTAATAGAGAGGCCTGCAGGAGAGGTGCATGCTGGGATAGCGGCCAAGCCTCAAAAGCTGGAAGTGCTGGTAGAGAGGCCTGCAGGAGAGGTGCATGCTGGGATAGCGGTCAAGCCTCAAAAGCTGGAAGTGCTGGTAGAGAGGCCTGCAGGAGAGGTGCATGCTGGGATAGCGGTCAAGCCTCAAAAGCTGGAAGTGCTGGTAGAGAGGCCTGCAGGAGAGGTGCATGCTGGGATAGCGGTCAAGCCTCAGCTTCTTTGTTTGTGTGTGTATTTCTAAATGGAACTGAGGACAGCTGAGACAGCGGCATGCTAGGTGGAAAGAACACTGTGGATGTTCCATGGGATGGAAAAAACAGGTGTCTGTCCATCAGCATCCAAGAACATACTGAAGAGGTACCAATAAAAGGCGGGTGACCCAGGTCCTGCACGGCTGGGGAATAGTATTCATACTGATATCCAGTTGCGCATTTATTATGGGAATTGTATTATTTTATTCAAGGTAGGTAATGTATTATCAAGAAAATTGTATCCATTTATTCAGTAATTACTTTCATATTTACCAACATAATCTTCTATCTGTTAAATAAATGCACTGAAGCATTTAACCATAATGGTCAGGATGACCCAGCAGGAATGTGGAACTTGTGTAAGAAAAGTAAAACCAGGAGTCTTCTCGGAGGGTCTGGGTCTGACAGGACACCGTGACCCAGGAGCCGTAAGCAGTTTGCAAGGGAACCAAGATCCCATTTTGTCTCACACACATGGTAAAAGATATAAAGCACTCGTGTCAATTCAGGTAACTAACAATGGTGTTTGTATGAGTGACCATGGTGACACTGAGAAGCAGAAGTTTGAAGAGAAAAGGAGAACTGAGGAAAACGATAGATGAGGGAGTGAGAGTTATGCCTGATGAATCGCTCCTGAATGTACATAAAAGACTCTCATCTTTCTTGGAGGAAAGTTCCTCCTTGTGCATGAGAATTCAATAAAGAATTCATCTCCGGTTACAGAGTGTCTAGTTTTAATTCTTTTCTGGCCCAGACTTTGTCTGTCCAAAATGTATAATCTTCCATACCAATCAGCAATAATTATCACATGGAAAACCTCATTTTAATACTAAGTGTTTGGAGGCAACTGTTCTGATGTCATACATAAGTTATATGCAATAATTTGTGAAATGTTTATGTCATATAGTTTCTGTTACTTTGTTTCATTTCGTTTTTTAACCACACATACATGCTTTGCTCTCTTTATTATAATCAAAGCCACAGTTCTGCCCCAAGGGACCTCATATTGGACCTCCAACCCAGACCAGTCCGATTATGTTCCAGACCAGTCCGATTATGTTCCAGACCAGTCCGATTATGTTCCGGATTTGTCGCTCAAGAGCCCTTCGACTTCTGGCCAAAATTGCCACTGACAACATATTTTCAGATGTAATGGTAAGAAACTGCTCTTCGCACTGAACCGATAAACTCCACAGATACACATATACAGTATGTTTATATACCCCTAAATCACTCCATGAAGCCCTATAGCAGACCTGTCCTATCGGGTATCATTGAACTGAATGAACTGATCCATTGGTCTGATGAGGATGTAATGACACACATGAAAGAGCTCATATATTCCCCCCATTAGGGTCGCCATGGTTGAAAACTGCTGCAGTGCTGTAGCTAAGCTACTTTAGCATTAAGAAAGACCCAATATCAGGCTAGTCAAGTTGGGAGGTGGAATCTGAACTACCACATGATTGCTATCTCATGATGGCCACGACCTGCTCTCAGTCCACCTGTATTAGGACGAATTTGCGGACGATTACGTCACCCACGTGACATGGAATTAACTTTACTATAATATTCTGGAAAGTTGTAATTGTGGATTAATTCCGGTCGCGTGTGGACTGATCGTCCAGAAATTCAGATCAATCGTCCATGATTCACCCCAAATGTCACTAGACTGCACGAACACGTTATTTAACGATCCCCTGTAAAACCTAACTTTACCATAAATAACTTGGGCTCATAAAAGAAGCCAGGATGCTTATCTTGG